CACATATGTAGATAGAGAGAGAGAGAGAAACACACACAGATGTAGACTAGAGAGAGAGAGAAAGAGAGAGAAACACACACAGATGGATGAAGAGAGAGAGAGAGAAAGAGAAACACACACAGATGTATATAAAGAGAGAGAGAGAGAAACACACAGATGTAGAGAGAGAGAGAGAAACACACACAGATGTAGATAGAGAGAGAGAGAGAGAGAGAGAGAGAGAAACACACACAGTTGTAGATAGACAGAGAGAGAAAAACACACACAGATGTAGATAGAGAGAGGGAGAGAAAGAGAAACACATAAAGATGTAGATAGAGAGAGGGAGAGAGAAACACACACAGATGTAGACAGAGAGAGAGAGAGAGAGAGAGAACACACACACAGATATATATATATATATATATATATATATATATATATATATATATATATATATAGAGAGAGAGAGAGAGAGAGAGAGAGAGAGAGAGAGAGAGAGAAACACACACAGATGTAGATAGATAGAGAGAGAGAGAGAAACACACACAGATATAGATAGAGAGAGAAAGAGAGAGAGAGAGACAGACACACACAGATGTAGAGAGAAAGAGAGAGAGAAACACACACAGATGTAGATAAGATAGATAGATAGAGAGAGAAGAGAGAGAGAGAGAGAGAGAGAGAGAGAGAGAGAGAGAGAGAGAGAGAGACAGACAGACAGACAGATAGAGCAAACACACACACTGATAGAGAGAGAAAACACACACACATATATATATATATAAAATTTACTCCTAACATATTTTCAGCACACTTCTCTGTCTATGATATTTCCAATAAACTTTTTTGTCAATATTTGAAACATGATTCTCCATCTATTATGTTTTCAACATACTTCTCTGTCTATGTCCTATGATATTGCCAACATACTTCTCTGTTATATTTTTAACATACTTCTCAATCTATGATATTTCCAACATTCTTCTCTATGTCCTATGATATTGCCAACATACTTCTCTGTCTATGATATTGCCAACATACTTCTCTGTCTATGATATTTTCAACATACTTCTCTGTCTATGATATTTCCAACATATTTCTCAGTCTATATCTCTAACATACTTCTCTGTCTATGATATTTCCAAAATAATTCTCTGCTATTTTTCCAACATACTTCTCTATGATATTTCCAACATACTTCTCTGTCTATGATATTTCCAACATACTTCTCTATGAAATTTTCAACATACTTCTCTGTCTATGATATTTCCAACATAATTCTTTACATTTCCATCATACTTCCATGACTATGATACTTCCAACATATTTCTCTGTCTATATCTCCAACATACTTCTCTGTCTATATTTTCAACATACTTCTTTGTCTATATTTCAAACATACTTCTCTATGATATTTTCAACATACTTATGTCTATAATATTTCTAACATATTTATCTATGAAATTTCCAGCATACTTCTATGTCTATATTTTAAAATACATCTCTGTCTACAATGTTTCCAAGATACTTCTCTGTCTATAATGTTTTCAACATACTTCTCTGTCTATAATGTTTGCAACATACTTCTGTCTATAATGTTTCCAACATACTTTTCTGTCTATAATGTTTCCAACATAATTCTCTGTATATAATTTTTCCAACATACTTCTCTGTTTATAATGTTTCCAACATACTTCTCTGTCTATAATGTTTCCAACATACTTCTCTGTCTATGATGTTTCCAACATACTTCTCTGTCTATAATGTTTTCAGCATACTTCTCTGTCTATGATGTTTCCAACATACTTCTCTGTCTATGATGTTTCCAACATACTTCTCTGTCTATGATGTTTCCAACATACTTCTCTGTCTATAATGTTTCCAGCATACTTCTCTGTCTATGATGTTTCCAACATACTTCTCTGTCTATAATGTTTCCAACATTCTTCTCTGTCTATGATGTTTTCAACACAGGAGGGGAAGTCAATTAGTAAGTCAGAAATGGTTATGAGATGGCAGGAAAATGTAGTTGATGTTTCCTACAGGTGTCATCAGGTGACAACCACATCGAACTTTATGTCTCCGTTCGTTAGGTAGGCTAGGTTATGTATGCGCGTTCACAATTCAGAAACAGAGGTCATGTAAGAGGGCCGGCAGATCTACTTTTGTGCAGCCCCCATGGTGGACATCAGAGGTTGAACAGGCATGGACGTTAAAGAGAGATGCAGTAAAGCGTTTAAAGAAAGTATGACAGACAGCCACAGGAGGAGTTGGAGTGCGCGGAAAGAGACAATAAAGATAAGATAGAGTTTTTCAAGCGCTGTGCGGCAGAGGCTAAAAAAGCAAAATGAGAGCATTTTATTGATGAGATTAGGACCGATAAGACATTGGGAAAGTTTTCGAGGCTACATAGGCAGATGCTCAAGAAAGTTGGCCTCGCGTAGTAGAAGCAGTTCATAGATATTACGGTATGCTATTAACTACAGACAAGAAAAGGGAGAGGCTTTCCTCAAGAGGTTCATTTCACAGACAAACCACAATGATGGAGATAACAGAGATAGAGTTAAAAAAGATCTAGCAGCCATCTTAAAGAGCAAACCTAATGAAGACATCATACAGGTCGAAGATGTAAAACGTGTTCTGAAAAGGACGAAAGACACTGCGCCCGGGCCCGACAGGGTTAGATATTCCCACATGAAAGACATGAGTGATGCAGACCTGTTGGAGATGACTGCTTGCTTCAACCAGAGCATTAGAACAGCTTCAGTACCAGAAGAGTGGATACACAGCTACCTGATTCCACTTCCTACGCCTGGCAAGAATCATTCAACACACGGGGGCTTTGGGATCATAACCCTACAAAACACCTTTGGTAAAGTGCTGGAGAAGATAGTGGTGGGTAAGCTACAAGCATTTTTGGAACAGAGTAATCTCCTTCCACGAGGATTGAGGAGTTACCGACCGGGGAAGGACACGTCGTCAAATGCAGGCACTTTTATTGATACCTTCGAGGGTTTCTAGAATAGACAGGAAACGGTGGCAGCGGCACTCGATTTAGAAGACGCTGACAACAGAGGCAGAAGCAGTATCTTGATGAAAGCGCTTATGGAGAAGGGAGTCTGTCCTCGGTTAGTGAACTGGATAGCAGCTGTTTTGTATACTCACTGGGTAGCTCTCCGCCTGGGTTCGTGGACCTCTAAACCATGTATTATAGCTCCAGGACTACCTACCACGGGGATCTGCAATTTCACCTGTGCTGTTCAATGTTTTTACGAGCAAGACTGCCTGCCTGGAAACACCTGGAGCTGGCAGAATATTGACATTTGCAGATGATGTTCTTGAATATAGAAAGGGGAAGAGAGAATCAAATTGCTGAAGAGTTATAGGCAACAGTAGATAAGGTGATCAACTGGTGTACAGAGATGAGTGCTGTAATCAACCCAGAAAATGCAACCGTCCTGTGGTGTTCTTTGGACAACAGGATTGTTAGAGCTGATGTTCCTCAGAATAAATGGCAGGGACATCAAAAAAGACAGCAGACTGCGGTACCTATAAATCACCTTTGACAGAAGTTTGTCTTTCAAGGATCACATAGAGGAGGTTGTGACAAGGGCTCAAAAGGGTCTAAATGTACTAAAGATTATGGCAGCGATGGTCATGGAGCATAGAATGCCGTTCACACTTAATCATCTCAGTGATTGATTATAGATTGGGGTTACTGTCTCGAAGAGTCGGCTAGAGAAATTGGAGCGCATACAGAATGAAGCTATGCAGCTGATCCTGGGTTGTACAATAGACGCCCCAATTGTGTGCATGCAATACATCTTTGCATTGCCGACTATTGCAGATAGGCTAAAGGTGCTGCAGGCTAAGTCATACCTCAGAGTAGCTGTAGACAGAAAACACCCTCTGTGTAAAGCTTTAACGGTGGGCAAGGGTCAGAGGCTGAAAAGGGGAAAATCGTGGATGGCTCAAGCAGAAGATACAATAAGACAAGTGTGCATGCTGGAGAACATTGGGTGTGGAGAGGAGTAGGTCAGAGTACCAGTGGGAAAGTCTGACCTGTGTAGGGTTATGATCACATTAGGCCGGGTGTGCAGAGAGTGGCCAGCGGGTGCTACAGAGGATGAAGTCCAACAAGCTGATTCACGACAATTCATGCCAAGGTGATCTGATTATCTATACAGATGGTTCGGTGCTGAGAGGAAAGAGAAGTGCCTGGGGGTTCGTGGCCAAAGCCAATAGAAAATCGTTAGTGCAATACAGCCTAGCATATTACACCACAACATCTAGCACGAGAATGGAGGTGTAGGCGGTAACTGCAGCTCTCCGGTGGCTAGAGAACTAGATGCATACACATGTAATTGTGACAGACTCTGAAAGCATGCTGAAAAAGGTGAGGACAGGGATGCTTCGAGCAGAGTGGCTAGCTTCACTGGAAAGGTGGTGAGCATACTTTGGATCTTTTCTCAAGGCTATGCCAACGTGGTGGGTAATGAACAGACAAAAAGATGTGACAGGTGATGTTTTATAACTCAGGTTATGTTTTATAACTCAGGTTATGTTTTATAACTCAGGTTATGTTTTATAACTCAGGTTATGTTTTATAACTCAGGTTATGTTTTACAGCTCAGGTTATGTTTTATAACTCAGGTTATGTTTTACAGCTCAGGTTATGTTTAATAACTCAGGGTATGTTTTATAACACAGGGTATGTTTCATAACTCGGGGTATGTTTTATAGTTTAGGTTATGTTGTATCATACAGATATGTCCATAGTACCGGTTATGTGGTACACTAATGATTACGGAAACATAATTATATTAGCCATAATGGCAGAGAAACAAATATGGAAGTCAAAAGATAATTTATTCTCAAGTATAGTTTATGCCCAAACAGGAAAAAAAAAAACAATCAAGAGATAACAAAAAAAAAGCTTTTGCTACTGGAGTTCAACAAGTCTACAATACAACATCAGATCCATGACAGCAAGTGGGCAGCACAGACCAGCAGGAATCTCATGCTGACCCAAACTCCTCCATCCACTTCTTGTACTTCTCCATACTCTCCTGCGTGACACTTTTGTTGACTTTCTTGATGGCCTCGGTAAAGTCTTCCATCGTTGTTGGCAATGTCAATTCCTCCTTGGGGATATTTCGAATCTCCTCTGGGCTGAGACCAGAAATACGACGTCTAAAGGACATCATGGCTGCATCTCTGTCATTATATATATATACAGATATATATTATAAATCAGTAAAATCATGTTAGGGAATTACAAGGCTAATAAATGTGCAACAGACAACTCATAAGAAAACCACTGAGCCCTGACACATATTGTCTATGTCCATGATGTAGACAGCCAACACACATATTGTCTATGTCCATGCTGTAGACAGCCAGCTATTCCCCACACACACATATGGTCTATGTCCATGCTGTAGACAGCCAGACAGCCAGCTATTCCCTGTAGACAGCCAACACACATATTGTCTATGTCCATGCTGTAGACAGCCAGCTATTCCCCACTCACACATATTGTCTATGTCCATGCTGTAGACAGCCAGCTATTCCCCACTAACACATATTGTCTATGTCCATGCTGTAGACAGCCAGCTATTCCCCACTAACACATATTGTCTATGTCCATGCTGTAGACAGCCAGCTATTCCCCACTCACACATATTGTCTATGTCCATGCTGTAGACAGCCAACACACATATTGTCTACGTCCATGCTGTAGACAGCCAGCTATTCCCCACTCACACATATTGTCTATGTCCATGCTGTAGACAGCCAGCTATTCCCCACTCACACATATTGTCTATGTCCATGCTGTAGACAGCCAGCTAGACCCCAACACACATATTGTCTATGTCCATGCTGTAGACAGCCAGCTATTCCCCACTCACACATATTGTCTATGTCCATGCTGTAGACAGCCAGCTATTCCCCACTCACACATATTGTCTATGTCCATGCTGTAGACAGCCAGCTATTCCCCACTCACACATATTGTCTATGTCCATGCTGTAGACAGCCAGCCACTCACACATATGGTCTATGTCCATGCTGTAGACAGCCAGCTATTCCCCACTGACACATATTGTCTATGTCCATGCTGTAGACAGCCAACACACATATTGTCTATGTCCATGCTGTAGACAGCCAGCTATTCCCCACTGACACATATTGTCTATGTCCATGCTGTAGACAGCCAGCTATTCCCCACTCACACATATTGTCTATGTCCATGCTGTAGACAGCCAGCTATTCCCAACATATTGTCTATGTCCATGCTGTAGACAGCCCATGCACACATTGTCTATGTATTGTCCACTATTCCCACACACATTGTCTATGTCCATGCTGTAGACAGCCAGCTATTCCCCAACACACATATTGTCTATGTCCATGCTGTAGACAGCCAGCTATTCCCCACTCACACATATTGTCTATGTCCATGCTGTAGACAGCCAGCATTCCCCACTGACACTATTGTCCATGCTGTAGACAGCCCCCCAACACACATATTGTCTATGTCCATGCTGTAGACAGCCAGCTATTCCCCACACACATATTGTCTATGTCCATGCTGTAGACAGCCAGCTATTCCCCACTCACACATATTGTCTATGTCCATGCTGTAGACAGCCAGCTATTCCCCACACACATATTGTCTATGTCCATGCTGTAGTAGCTATTCCCCAACACACATATTGTCTATGTCCATGCTGTAGACAGCCAGCTATTCCCCACTCACACATATTGTCTATGTCCATGCTGTAGACAGCCATGCTGTAGACAGCCACACACCCCACTCACACATATTGTCTATGTCCATGCTGTAGACAGCCAGCTATTCCCCACAGCCACACATATTGTCTATGTCCATGCTGTAGACAGCCAGCTATTCCCCACTCACACATATTGTCTATGTCCATGTCCATGCTGTAGACAGCCAGCTATTCCCCACTCACACATATTGTCTATGTCCATGCTGTAGACAGCCAGCTATTCCCCACACACATATTGTCTATGTTGTCTATGTCCATGCTGTAGACAGCCAGCTATTCCCCACTACACACATATTGTCTATGTCCATGCTGTAGACAGCCCATTCCCCACACACATATTGTCTATGTCCATGCTGTAGACAGCCAGCTATTCCCCACTCTATGTGTCTATGTCCATGCTGTAGACAGACAGCCAGCTATTCCCCACTCACACACATATTGTCTATGTCCATGCTGTAGACAGCCAGCTATTCCCCACACACATATTGTCTATGTCCATGCTGTAGACAGCCAGCTATTCCCACACACATATTGTCTATGTCCATGCTGTAGACAGCCAGCTATTCCCCACTCACACATATTGTCTATATCCATGCTGTAGACAGCCAGCTATTCCCCACTCACACATATTGTCTATAACCAAGCTGTAGACAGCCAGCTGTTCCCCACTCACACATATTGTCTATGTCCATGCTGCAGACAGCCAGCTGTAGACAGCTAGCTATTCCCCACTAACACATATTGTCTATGTCCATGCTGTAGACAGCCAGCTAATCCCCACTCACACATATTGTCTATGTCCATGCTGTAGACAGCCAGCTATTCCCCACTCACACATATTGTCTATGTCCATGCTGTAGACAGCCACATATTGTCTATGTCCATGCTGTACACATATTGTCTATGTCCATATTGCTGTCCAGAGACAGCCAGCTATTCCCCACTCACACATATTGTCTATGTCCATGCTGTAGACAGCCAGCTATTCCCCACTCACACATATTGTCTATGTCCATGCTGTAGACAGCCAGCTATTCCCCACTCACACATATTGTCTATGTCCATGCTGTAGACAGCCAACACACATATTGTCTCCATGCTGTAGACAGCCAGCTATTCCCCACACATATTGTCTATGTCCATGCTGTAGACAGCCAGCTATTCCCCAACACACATATTGTCTATGTCCATGCTGTAGACAGCCAGCTATTCCCCACTAACACATATTGTCTATGTCCATGCTGTAGACAGCCACACACATATTGTCTATGTCCAACACACACATATTGTCTATGTCCATGCTGTAGACAGCCAGCTATTCCCCACACACATATTGTCTATGTCCATGCTGTAGACAGCCAGCTATTCCCCACCCCACTCACACATATTGTCTATGTCCATGCTGTAGACAGCCAACATTCCCACATCACACATATTGTCTATGTCCATGCTGTAGACACTAGCCACCAACACACATATTGTCTATGTCCATGCTGTAGACAGCCAGCTATTCCCCACACACATATTGTCTATGTCCATGCTGTAGAGCAGCCAGCTATTCCCCACTGTAGACACATATTGTCTCTATGTCCATGCTGTAGACAGCCAGCTATTCCCCACTATTCATGCTGTCTACATGCCATGCTATAGACCACAACACACATATTGTCTATGTCCATGCTGTAGACAGCCAGCTATTCCCCACTCACACATATTGTCTATGTCCATGCTGTAGACAGCCAACACACATATTGTCTATGTCCATGCTGTAGACAGCCAGCTATTCCCCACTCACACATATTGTCTATGTCCATGCTGTAGACAGCCAGCTATTCCCCACTCACACATATTGTCTATGTCCATGCTGTAGACAGCCAACACACATATTGTCTATGTCCATGCTGTAGACAGCCAGCTATTCCCCACTAACACATATTGTCTATGTCCATGCTGTAGACAGCCAACACACATATTGTCTATGTCCATGCTGTAGACAGCCAGCTATTCCCCACTCACACATATTGTCTATGTCCATGCTGTAGACAGCCAACACACATATTGTCTATATCCATGCTGTAGACAGCCAGCACACACACATATTGTCTATGTCCATGCTGTAGACAGCCAGCTATTCCCCACTCACACATATTGTCTATGTCCATGCTGTAGACAGCCAGCTATTCCCCAACACACATATTGTCTATGTCCATGCTGTAGACAGCCAGCCAGCTTGTCTCCCCACTGTAGACACATATTGTAACACTATGTCTATGTCCATGCTGTAGACAGCCAACACACATATTGTCTATGTCCATGCTGTAGACAGCCAGCTATTCCCCACTCACACATATTGTCTATGTCCATGCTGTAGACAGCCAGCTATTCCCCACTCACACATATTGTCTATGTCCATGCTGTAGACAGCCAACACACATATTGTCTATGTCCATGCTGTAGACAGCCAGCTATTCCCCACACACACACATATTGTCTATGTCCATGCTGTAGACAGCCAGCTATTCCCCACTCACACATATTGTCTATGTATAGACAGCCAACACAAATATTGTCTATGCCATGCTGTAGACAGCCCAACACACATATTGTCTATGTCCATGCTGTAGACAGCCAGCTATTCCCCACACACATATTGTCTATGTCCATGCTGTAGACAGCCAGCTACACACATATATTGTCTATGTCCATGCTGTAGACAGCCAGCTATTCCCACTCACACACATATTGTCTATGTCCATGCTGTAGACAGCCAGCTATTCCCCACTCACACATATTGTCTATGTCCATGCTGTAGACAGCCATATTGTCTATGTCCATGCTGTAGACACATATTGTCTATGTCCATGCTGTAGACAGCCAGCTATTCCCCACTCACACATATTGTCTATGTCCATGCTGTAGACAGCCACAGCTATTGTCCCCATGCTGTAGACAGCCAGCTATTCCCCACACACATATTGTCTATGTCCATGCTGTAGACAGCCAACACACATATTGTCTATGTCCATGCTGTAGACAGCCAGCTATTCCCCACTCACACATATTGTCTATGTCCATGCTGTAGACAGCCAGCTATTCCCCACACACATATTGTCTATGTCCATGCTGTAGACAGCCAGCTATTCCTATTCCCCACTCACACATATTGTCTATGTCCATGCTGTAGAGACAGCCAGCCATTGCTATTGCCCCACTCCCCACACACATATTGTCTATGTCCATGCTGTAGACAGCCAGCTATTCCCCAACACACATATTGTCTATGTCCATGCTGTAGACAGCCAGCTATTCCCCACTAACACATATTGTCTATGTCCATGCTGTAGACAGCCAGCTACACACACATATTGTCTATGTCCATGCTGTAGACAGCCAGCTATTCCCCACACACATATTGTCTATGTCCATGCTGTAGACAGCCAGCTATGTAGACAGCCCACACTCACACATATTGTCTATGTCCATGCTGTAGACAGCCAGCTATTCCCCACTCACACATATTGTCTATGTCCATGCTGTAGACAGCCAGCTATTCCCCACTAACACATATTGTCTATGTCCATGCTGTAGACAGCCAGCTATTCCCCACTCACACATATTGTCTATGTCCATGCTGTAGACAGCCAACACACATATTGTCTATGTCCATGCTGTAGACAGCCAGCTATTCCCCACTCACACATATTGTCTATGTCCATGCTGTAGACAGCCAACACACATATTGTCTATGTCCATGCTGTAGACAGCCAGCCCACTCACACATATGTCCCATGCTGCTGTAGACAGCCAGCATTCCCCACACACATATTGTCTATGTCCATGCTGTAGACAGCCAGCTATTCCCCACTCACACATATTGTCTATGTCCATGCTGTAGACAGCCAACACACATTGTCTATGTCCATGCTGTAGACAGCCAGCTATTTCCCCACTAACACATATTGTCTATGTCCATGCTGTAGACAGCCAGCTATTCCCCACTCACACATATTGTCTATGTCCATGCTGTAGACAGCCACTATTCCCCAACACACATATGTCTATGTCCATGCTGTAGACAGCCAGCTATTCCCCACTGACACATATTGTCTATTCCATGCCACAACACACATATTGTCTATGTCCATGCTGTAGACAGCCAGCTATTCCCCACTAACACATATTGTCTATGTCCATGCTGTAGACAGCCAGCTATTCCCCACTAACACATATTGTCTATGTCCATGCTGTAGACAGCCAGCTATCCCCACACACATATTGTCTATGTCCATGCTGTAGACAGCTATTCCCACTGACACATATTGTCTATGTCCATGCTGTAGACAGCCAGCTATTCCCCACTCACACATATTGTCTATGTCCATGCTGTAGACAGCCAGCTATTCCCCACTCACACATATTGTCTATGTCCATGCTGTAGACAGCCAACACACATATTGTCTATGTCCATGCTGTAGACAGCCAGCTATTCCCCACTAACACATATTGTCTATGTCCATGCTGTAGACAGCCAACACACATATTGTCTATGTCCATGCTGTAGACAGCCAGCTATTCCCCACTCACACATATTGTCTATGTCCATGCTGTAGACAGCCAGCTATTCCCCACTGACACATATTGTCTATGTCCATGCTGTAGACAGCCAGCTATTCCCCACACACATATTGTCTATGTCCATGCTGTAGACAGCCAGCTATTCCCCACACACATATTGTCTATGTCCATGCTGTAGACAGCCAACACACACATATTGTCTATGTCCATGCTGTAGACAGCCAACATACATATTGTCTACGTCCATGCTGTAGACAGACAGCTATTCCCACTGACACATATTGTCTATGTCCATGCTGTAGACAGTCAGCTATTCCCTACTCACACATATTGTCTATGTCCATGCTGTAGACAGCCAGCTATTCCCCACTGACACATATTGTCTATGTCCATGCTGTAGACAGCCAGCTATTCCCCACTCACACATATTGTCTATGTCCATGCTGTAGACAGCCAGCTATTCCCCACTCACACATATTGTCTATGTCCATGCTGTAGACAGCCAGCTATTCCCCACTGACACATATTGTCTATGTCCATGCTGTAGACAGCCAACACACATATTGTCTATGTCCATGCTGTAGACAGCCAGCTATTCCCCACTCACACATATTGTCTATGTCCATGCTGTAGACAGCCAACACACATATTGTCTATGTCCATGCTGTAGACAGCCAGCTATTCCCCACTAACACATATTGTCTATGTCCATGCTGTAGACAGCCAGCTATTCCCCACTCACACATATTGTCTATGTCCATGCTGTAGACAGCCAGCTATTCCCCACTCACACATATTGTCTATGTCCATGCTGTAGACAGCCAGCTATTCCCCACTCACACATATTGTCTATGTCCATGCTGTAGACAGCCAGCTATTCCCAGCACACACACATATTGTCTATGTCCATGCTGTAGACAGCCAGCTCCCATTACACACATATTGTCTATGTCCATGCTGTAGACAGCCAGCTATTCCCCACTGACACATATTGTCTATGTCCATGCTGTAGACAGCCAGCTATTCCCCACACATATTGTCTATGTCCATGCTGTAGACAGCCAGCTATTCCCCACACACATATTGTCTATGTCCATGCTGTAGACAGCCAGCTACTATTGTCTATGTCCATGCTGTAGACACACATATTGTCTATGTCCATGCTGTAGACAGCCAGCTATTCCCCACTCACACATATTGTCTATGTCCATGCTGTAGACAGCCAGCTATTCCCCACACACATATTGTCTATGTCCATGCTGTAGACAGCCAGCTATTCCCCACTCACACATATTGTCTATGTCCATGCTGTAGACAGTATTGTCTACTGTAGACGGCCAGCCAGCTATTCCCCACTTCCACACATATTGTCTATGTCCATGCTGTAGACAGCCAACACACATATTGTCTATGTCCATGCTGTAGACAGCCAGCTATTCCCCTACTTAGTGTATGCTCATATGTATGCCAAACAGTTCTACCTGTGTGTGTCCCGCTGTTAGGTGTGCCAAAACAGTTCTACTTGTGTGTTTTCCAATGTTAGGTGTGCCAAACAGTTCTACCTGTGTGTGTCCCACTGTTAGGTGTGCCAAACAGTTCTACCTGTGTGTGCCCTACTGTTAGGTGTGACGAAAAGTTCTACCTGTGTGTTTCCCAATGTTAGGTGTGTCCAAAAAGCTCCACCTGTGTGTGTCCCACTGTTAGGTGTGCTGAACAGTTCCACCTTTGCACGAGACAGACAATACAAAGATACATGGTTCAACCTGAGACAGACAATACAAAGATACATGGTTCAACCTGAGACAGACAATACAAAGATACATGGTTCAACCTGAGACAGACAATACAAAGATACATGGTTCAACCTGAGACAGACAATACAAAGATACATGGTTCAACCTCAGGCAGACAATACAAAGATACATGGTTCAAACTGAGACAGACAATACAAAGATACATGGTTCAACCTGAGACAGACAATACAAAGATACATGGTTCAACCTGAGACAGACAATACAAAGATACATGGTTCAACCTGAGACAGACAATACAAAGACATATGGTTCAACCTCAGGCAGACAATACATAGGATACATGGTTCAACCTGAGACAGACAATACAAAGATACATGGTTCAACCTGAGGCAGACAATACAAAGATACAGGGTTCAACCTGAGACAAACAATACAAAGACATATGGTTCAACCTGAGACAGACAATACAAAGAAACATGGTTCAACCTGAGGCAGACAATAAAAAGACACATGGTTCAACCTGAGACAGACAATACAAAGATACATGGTTCAAACTGAGACAGACAATACAAAGATACCGGGTTCAACCTGAGATAGACAATACAAAGATACATGGTTCAATCTGAGACAGACGAATACAAAAAAAAACATGGTTCAACCTGAGAGAGACAATACAAACACATGGTTTTACCTGAGACAGACAATATAAAGACATATGGTTCAACCTGAGACAGACAATACAAAGATACAGGGTTCAACCTGAGACAGACAACAGCAGTAAATATACCATCAGGTAGAGGAATGAATATACGCTTCTCCAGTCGTCTCCTCAGAGCCTCGTCCATCTCCCTGGGAGGCAAGGCTGCCAGCAGTCTATGGTTCAGTGAATCATCTTGAAACTGCTGACACCTGCCAATAACAAGCAGACAAATTTTTCTCTAGCCAAAACTGACATCACACAAACATATTGCATCAGGAGTCATCACATGAACACACTGCACCAGAAGACATCACACGAACACACTGCACCAGAAGACATCACAGGAACACACTGCACCAGAAGACATCACACGAACACACTGCACCAGAAGACACCACAGGAACACACTGCACCAGAAGACAATACAAAAAACACATGGTTGCAACCTGAGACAGACAATACACACGAACACACTGCACCAGAAGACACATACAAACACACTGGTTCAGAAGACTGAGACAGGAACACACTGCACCAGAAGACATCACAGGAACACACTGCACCAGAAGACATCACAGGAACACACTGCACCAGAAGACATCACACGGACACACTGAGACAGAAGGGATTTGAACACTAAGCACTCTGCAAATGGCTGCCCTAACCTTAATCTTTGTGCTAAGTCATATGGGTGTTCAAAAGAACAAGCGTGCAAATTATCTTACAGATACTATGGTTGCTATGGCTGGTCCAGTACTGGACAGAAGTGATGGTGTCACAACACTTATGACAACGAGCACACCACAAGGCATTATTCTGTTTGCTTGTCTAGGCTGACGGATATAGGGGTACCCTTGGAGCTGCAAGAAATAAAGATTTGACTAAGGGGACAAGACGTTTCATTTATCAACACAAAACAGGTGTCATCAGTGTTTTTACACTCATTGAGCTTCTGAAAAGGAGATCAAAACACAAATGGATCAGTGCTGTGATGGTAATCCTTACTAATCACACTGTCAATTGAATTCTCAGATAATTTTCTCACATTGTCAATTTAATCCTCAGATAATTTCTCACACTGTCAATTGAATTCTCAGATAATTTTCTCACACTGTCAATTGAATTCTCAGATAATTTTCTCACACTGTCAATTGGATTCTCAGATACTTTTCTCACACTGTCAATTGAACATCAGATAATTTTCACCACACTGTCAATTGAATTCTCAGATAATTTTCTCACACTGTCAATTGAATTCTCAGATAATTTTCTCACACTGTCAATTGAATTCTCAGATAATTTTCTCACACTGTCAATTGAATTCTCAGATAATTTTCTCACACTGTCAATTTAATTCTCAGAAAATTTTCTCACACTGTCAATTGAATTCTCAGATAATTTTTTCACACTGTCAATTGAATTCTCAGATAATTTTCTCACACTGTCAATTTAATTCTCAGATAATTTTCTCACACTGTCAATTTAATTCTCAGATAATTTTCTCACACTGTCAATTGAATTTTCAGATAATTTTCTCACACTGTCAATTTAATTCTCAGATAATTTTCTCACACTGTCAACTTAATTCTCAGATAATTTTCTCACACTGTCAATTTAATTCTCAGATAATTTTCTCACACTGTCAATTTACTTCCTCATGGATAATGTTTCTCACACTGGTCAATTGATTCTGATATTGTCAATCTCATGGACAGATTTGATAAAAGGATATTCCTTTTTTTTTCGAAGTTTGCAGTTGTAGGTAAAGTTCATCAGGGGTTTTGTTCCTCATGGAGTTTTGTTCCTCATGGAGTTTTGTTCCTCATGGAGTATTGTTCCTCATGGAGTATTGTTCCTCATGGAGTATTGTTTCTCATGGAGTATTGTTCCTCATGGAGTTTTGTTCCTCATGGAGTTTTGTTCCTCATGGAGTATTGTTCCTCATGGAGTATTGTTCCTCATGGAGTTTTGTTCCTCATGGAGTTTTGTTCCTCATGGAGTATTGTTCCTCATGGAGTATTGTTCCTCATGGAGTATTGTTCCTCATGGAGTATTGTTCCTCATGGAGTTTTGTTCCTCATTGAGTATTGTTCCTCATGGAGTATTGTTCCTCATGGAGTATTGTTCCTCATGGAGTATTGTTCCTCATGGAGTATTGTTCCTCATGGAGTATTGTTCCTCATGAAGTATTGGTCCTCATGGAGTATTGTTCCTCATGAAGTTTTGTTTCTCATTGAGTTTTGTTCCTCATGGAGTATTGTTCCTCATGGAGTATTGTTCCTCATGGAGTATTGTTCCTAGTGGAGTTTTGTTCCTCATGGAGTTTTGTTTCTCATGGAGTTTTGTTCCTCATGGAGTATTGTTCCTCATGGAGTATTGTTCCTCATGATAGTTTTTGTTTCACATTGAGTATTTTTTCCTCATGAGTTTTGTTTTCATTGATTTTTGTTCCTCATGGAGTTTTGTCCTCATGGATGTTTGTTCCTCACTGAGTATTTAATCCTCATAGAGTATTGTTCCTTATGGAGTATTGCTCCTCATGGAGTATTGTTCCTCATGGAGTATTGTTCCTCATGGAGTATTGTTCCTCATGGAGTTTTGTTCCTCATGGAGTATTGTTCCTCATGGAGTTTTGTTCCTCATGGAGTATTGTTCCTCATGGAGTTTTGTTCCTCATGAAGTATTGTTCCTCATGGAGTATTGTTCCTCATGTAGTATTGTTCCTCATGGAGTTTTTTTCCTCATGGAGTTTTGTTCCTCATGGAGTATTGTTCCTCATGGAGTATTGTCCCTCATGAAGAATTGTTCCTCATGGAGTATTGTTCCTCATAGAGTTTTGTTCCTCATGGAGTATTGTTCCTCATGGAGTATTGTTCCTCATGGAGTTTTGTTTCTCGTTGAGTTTTGTTCCTCATGGAGTATTGTTCCTCTTGGAGTTTTGTTCCTCATGGAGTATTGTTCCTCATGGAGTATTGTTCCTCATGAAGTATTGTTCCTCATGAAGTATTGTTCCTCATGGAGTATTGTTTCTCATTGAGTTTTGTTCCTCATGGAGTATTGTTCCTCATGAAGTATTGTTCCTCATGGAGTATTGTTCCTCATGGAGCTTTGTTTCTCCTTGAGTTTTGTTCCTCATGGAGTATTGTTCCTCATGAAGTATTGTTTCTCATGGAGTATTGTTCCTCATGGAGTATTGTTCCTCATGGAGTATTGTTCCTCATGGAGTATTGTTCCTCATGGAGTTTTGTTTCTCATTGAGTTTTGTTCCTCATGGAGTTTTGTTCCTCATGGAGTTTTGTTCCTCGGGAGGAAGGTGACACCAAACTGTCAAGTAATCTGATAACTTATGGGCAGGAGGAGGGGCAGTTGAAGATGTTTTTTCACAAGTTCTGATGATGGCCTTGGCAAAGGGCAGAGTTATATAGAATAATGAATTTATTCCTCTCAGAATATATATCAGCGGGACCTAGTTATATAGAATCATGAATTTATTCCTCTCAGAATAGGGACTAGTTTATATAGAAAATTCCTCTCAGATATATATCATAAATTCCTCTCTATATATCAGCGGGACCTAGTTATATAGAATCATGAATTTATTCCTCTCAGAATATATATCAGCGGGACCTAGTTATATAGAATCATGAATTTATTCCTCTCAGAATATATATCAGCGGGACCTAGTTCTGGATGATCAAGTGGGCCAGGAGGCTGGGAAAATCATCATGAACTGTTCCTAGAATATGTCTTGTATCCTGCGACAGATGTCAGGTGCTTTTATAATGATGTTTAAAAGTATAGCTTCACCCATTATGAAATGAAGAAGAAAAAGAGCAGTAGGCTTAAAGCAGTAGGCTTAAAGCAGTAGGCTTAAAGCAGTAGGCTTAAAGCAGTAGGCTTAAAGCAGTAGGCTAAAAAGAGGAAAACTGTGGATGGTTCAGCCCCAGGATATTATTCAGCAGGTCCATCCGCTAGTGACCTAGAGCAATGGATCAAGATTGAACTTAGGAGCATAAATGTACCAGTCAATGTTGAGGATGAGCAATGGATAAACAGAGTGCTTAAATACCACCCTTGAGGACATATAGTGAGCAATGGATACTGCTACAAAAGATGTGATCA